CTCAAAAAACGATTTAAGCACTTAAATATTTTTTTATGGAGCTTACTTGATGTTGATATTTGCGTAGGAGCATATACACTGTACGTGTAAGAAGATGGTCGCTGGTTATAATATTTGGACAGTCATTGTAAACTAAATCAACCTTTATAAATTTAATTAAGTGTCGAATCCAAGTGATCCAAGTGAAATGATAGCATATACACACACTGGACAATAGAAGTGTCACCCCTACTGAACCAATTCTTTGGGGGAGATAAATGACTGTGGAATGATATGCTCCTGGTATCATTTTATTAACATCAAATTTCACAAAAGAAACGGTTCTGACTGAACAATTCAACTGTATCGATATTCTGACATTGCTTATATTCCGCCTCTTCAGGTTAATTACTTTGATTGCTCTGATTTAGGGGGTGACACTTCTATTGTCCAGTGTGTGTAGTACGACAAAATTGCTTATTTCCCCGGGAAAATCCATTTTAGCGGGAAAATCCCATGGAGCTGCCCTTTAAACAATGATGATTCTGGTTACGTTAATAAAAATTAACATCTACCATTAACTCCCGTAAATTTTTTTATTCAAAAAGTATACATAATTTAGCAAAAGAAACGCAGGTTTTGTTATGTCTCTGGTCTTAATATACTTTTTCATACAATAGTGTTGCCTAAAGGGTAGACTATTGCTCAGTAACGTGTGCGCCCTACCCAGGGGCAGATCCAGGATTATTTGAAGGGGGCCCGGTTTTTAGGAATGACAGACCGCGGATGCGAAGCCTACCCTTGCCCCCTCCCCCCCCCCAAAAAAAAAAAATGGGGGGTATTTTAGAGGGTGAACGGTGCCATTTGGTACGGTTTAGAACTACGACTCAGCTAGTCAAAATTCTCATTTTTAGAGGGGACCATTGGTGTGATCCTTTTTTCAGAAATCAAAAGGGGGTCAGGACACCCCTCCCTTAAATCCGCCATTGCTCTCCTGGCAGCAATCCAGCGAGGGTAGTGCCCTCCTTCTCATAAACTGCACGAGACCTTTAATGTTGACACCCGAGTCGTCCTCCTCCATTCTTCCACCAATGAATAAAAGGTAACTATTTCAGTAATTCGCGAGCAGATCGCCATGGAAAGAAATATTTCTGTACACCACGGTTGTGAATATTTATTTTCAGAGAAGATGATTTTCAAGTCAGTGACATAATTCTTGAAGTAAAAGATCCGCGTGTGTATTTTTCACTCCACCATCACGAAATCGGTAAATAAATTATAAGAGAGAAATCTTTGTATTGTGAAAGACCTGTCCTGATGGTCTAAGTCGAATCAAATCGAACAATAAAATGATTGGCTATTTGAAAAAATACTTTAGTTTCGAAAGAATTGCTCTCTTTAAAAAAAAATTAATTCCGACTAGAATGAAACCGAAGGAGTCCATCGAGGTAAGGGGATAAATTAAGTTGATGAAGAGAGAATGATATCGATAAATATACTGGGAATTACAAGAGAGATCTAAGAAAGACCATGAGTAAAATCAATTGCCTCGATTGTTTGTAAAATACACTGTACTGACATAACAGTTTTTTCTTCTTTTCTTCAGTTCAAATCGTTTTCGCTTTTGATTCTATTTAGTGTCAACGTCTGCTTAAACACCTGAACTTTATAGGGACCAAATCAAAGGTTCACTTGGGTTCTGCAAATCAAAAATTATTTAAAGCACCACTCTATTTTAATTTTAAAATGTGAAACCAAAGACTACAATTTGTTTTACCTGCCTGACAAAAGGAATTCATGAGTACTTTCACCAGACAGTTTGATGTTTTCATGGACATCGTTTGGCAGAAATTAAACTTATGTGATTTGAGAAAATATTCATTAATATCTATTAAGGAATTATACTATCAAATTATTTTTCTAGATAAACAATAACAAAAAATGATGATATACATATAATGAAGTTTTTTATCTTCGTTCCTTTTTTTTTTCTTTTTTTTTTCTAGCTGACATTAGCAAGTCCAAATTTTACTATTTTAAGAGTAAATAAAATCGAACACTGTGCAAACTTTGAATCACATCTACAAAAGGGTAATGTCACGTTCCCAGCATGTAACACTTAATATAACGGCTATGGTACGTTTTCCAGTCATCAACCACTGACAGACTGATCTTTGCGTTTATTTCTCTGAGTGACAAACCTGGATTCTCCTTATACAACATGGACAGTCCAGCTATCGGTGCGACTGACCACACTTTCTCTATTTCAATATATATACTACGTCTATACATAAAACAACATAAAATATATATCAAAGTGATTCCTGAAGAGATATATGGAAGTGAATTAAGAAACAAATTCTAAAGACATTCGACACAATTACATTGAGTCTAACTTTAATTTTAACAGAGGCATAATTTACAGCTTGATTATAGTTTTTTCGAATTAGTAAATGCATTAATAGATTCAGGTAACACGATAGCGACTCAGACAACTAAATAATTTTACCAAACTTTGACATAATTTGATTAAAAATAGGATGTTTCTAAAGTGTAGTAAGTTGGCCAAAAATCACCATTAAAACATATCCCTGGAGACCTCCTAAATATTTTTCATGAAATCACCATTCACAATAATTATAACACCAATGCGCCTGATTAAAATTAATTAAATCAAGGGTGTACAAATGCGATGGTTAAATGCTGCATTTAGGCATAAATCGGTTAAAAACTACTCTCAAGTGTGAACGCGCCCTTGACTTAAATATTGGCGGATTTCTAATAAGACTCGATTTTATTAAAGATAAATCAAATAACATGGAAAAGTACCAAGTTAATAACTAGAGCGACCCTGTTGATTTAACAGCCAAGTCTATAAGCTCTCATTATCAAAATGGTCCCTGTCCGTGCGTGGGGGACAAACGGGATCTGTTACTTCTCAAACACAAAAATATATATTTGGCACATTTATCTCTACATGTTGACTGAAGTGTCACTCTAATGACCCGTGTATCTAAAATTAGCACCTTGTGGGTTTGTATTAATAAGGTAATCGAAGATATCAGATAATAAACAGGGTGCCCCTTTTCTTAACAGCTGGTGGGTATAGATCTATTTCAAGGTGTCAGAAGTGTCAGTATCAACTGTGAGGAAAGAGATAGGGAGATACGTGCCTTTCCTGTAGTAGATCCAAGTCTTGGCTTATAAGTATATCACGTACATTTGTACGCAGGAAGCCCCCCCTCCCCCCTTGCGCCCGAAGACTATTGTATATTGCACGTATAAAGTCCCAAAATGTATGCCACTTTATTTTGAAAAATAATGTAATGAAATTGTAGATCGAGCGAGGTTGCATTCCAAGTATTTTTTAGTTACACAAAACATATTAATTATAACTTTTACAACGCCAATTACCGATTATAAAAATCAAGCTCAAGCAAAAACGACCCTTCCAAAGTCGCACACATCATCAATATCAACAACAGAACCATTACGTTGTAAACGGTTAGTGAGGATGACATTCAACCACACCCGGATTAGCTTAGTAAACAAGGCATATGACAACGAGTGCCTTTTAATGAAATTATAAATTGACAAGATAAGATATTTTCCTAACATCCAAAAATTATAAATTTTAAACTGGGTTCAAATCACTCTAAATCTATAGAATTAATAGAACGGGAAAACATGAGTTAATATTTCTGCGCTTGCACCCAATCAGCGAAGTTAGGGAAATGCGAAGTTAGGGAAATGCCATTCTTCTGAGCTAGGAGGCCAAATTAAATAAATAATGCCGAAACCAACGATTTTAATTTGCTAATGAATAAGGTATAGATTTAGCATTTAAACGTGAGATGGACCACAGAGTAAGAAGCAAAAGATTTGTATAAAAATAAAGAACGTGTGTAATTTTAGGCCAGTCTTGAATGACATTATGTGTGTTGCGCTGAAAAACATAAGATCGAAGATTTAATGATTTTTTACGTTGCAGTTTCTGTTGGAATGGGTATGAAACATTCACTGATTTAAAGGGTTTATGGCTTCCGTGAAATTTATGCAGCACTGGAAAGGATAATTAAAGTAAAGGTCCCATCGCTAAAAAAAAGGCCGATTTGGATACAATTTTTAATGGAAGAATTCTTGCATTATACCCGAACAACATACATGAACATTTTTAGTGGGAAAGCTGTTCTACGGCGATTTTTTTTAGAATCACGTGTAATTGACAACTAAAAAAATTTGAAAGAAAATATACAGTACAAACAGATACTCAGTGAAACTTCTGATCACGCGTTCAACATTCTTATGACAAATATATGCCACTAAGGCCGCGTTCACAACCAGTAGATCCGCAGACTAACTATTCCGCGGATCAAATATGGCGCACACTTAACAGTGGATTCCCGCCTCACACGTGTGCCGTCCCAGCAGGGGGCAGAGCAATTGAATTTCGGCTCGCTTTCAAGTGGGTCGCACCATACTTGATCCCCGGCCTAGTTAGTACGCGGATCAACTGGTTGTGAACACGGCCTAATTCTTCACAGTCTCCAAGGTCACCCAGATGTTAGACGGGTCTTGCTGGGCATGATTCACTGTGGAGGATATCTCAAGCCCATGGGGGAAAGGCCAAAGGATGTATACCATCCCAGGCGTGACGAGATAACGCTAAGGCAAAATAAAATCATTTTTTCGTTCTTTTTTAGGATCAGACGCTGAAAATACAATTTTCTTGCTGGTGAAAGATTATTTGAAAAGACATAAATGCATTGAAAAGTGCCACAAGTGAAAGGTTTGAACTTTCCTTTTCCCTATTTCTTTACATTATGATTCTAAATCAGATTCAAAGTCAGTCCAGTGTTTTGCTAGTCGATTTCCAGAGTCACAAACATATAATTTTCATGCCATATTATAAACAAATAACCTTTTTCTACAAGTGCGCGTGCGGTGCGCCAGGGCGCATGCGTACGCTTCATGGTATATAACACGCACGCGGCGCTGCGGACCGCAACATTTCGGCACGCGTGAAACGCTAGAAACATGCACCAGTTCAGGGTGGTGCTACTAGCGGTGGTGGCGATAGCCACGTCGCCGCATGCTGAGGGACAATTACTAACAGGAACAGGAACAAGTTCAGGAACAAAAGGTAATGATTTATTTATTAATATCGTTTTTGCCAAGATTTCGCGTAGGCCTACCGATGGATATATCTCATTTGAAAAAAATTAAGCAATGAAAATCAGTTTTGCGTTGCAGATGTAAGAGAAAATATCACATATTTTTGGTAAAGACATGGTTTTCTGATTTTTTTAAAATACTTCGGTGAAAGGTTAGTTTCGCACATTGTAGGTAAGACATTTGGCTATAATTTTAACCATTTTGAAATTTATTGAATAGTATTTTATGACCATGAATTGATTTTTCGAAACATTAATTTGCATATTTCGATTGACTATTGCATAAAACTGTTTGCCTTCAGTAGATAAATAACGTTTATTATGCGAAACCAAAGTTTGATTAGAGTTTTTTGAGGGAAAATCAATAAAAGAGTTGATGATTTTAACTATTTTGAGAGGACAGTAGTGTTACACGCTGGTGTCGCGTCTTTGCATGATAGCACACATTGAACAAAAAAAGCAACTGGTGGCTTTCTATGAAAATGTGATATGTAGTTTTGGCTACTTCTTTCAACAGAGAGAGAGAGGTTACCAGGGGAAAATTGAATCGATGAAGGAAAAGTGACACGTGTGAAAATTTTGAAATCTTACGTGAACGTACAAGGCGCATATTAAAGAAAAGCAAAAGCAATGCCTTTATTTAAAAGCGCGGACGGAGAGGGAATGCTCAGACTCATGCATTGTTTTTATGCATCGCTTCTCCTTTCATTCTTATTACAAATCTTTTAAGAAATTATGCATTTTTGTAGTTGCGCAGAAGTGAAGAATCACATTTCACAGGCTCTCTTGTTTGTTTTTAGCGTAAAATTTTGTCAAAAAGTGAATTGGGGAGTTATATTCTAGATGTAGCTACCAGGCGTTCGTTTTGCAGTTTAAGTACAACACACACACACATACACACACACATATCGATACACTGTATGAGAGGTTCTCTTTGGGGTAAGAGATGGGAATGACGGGAAAACCATTTGCATTTCGCTGACAAAGCTTTTTGCAATCACATTTTTTAAAATTGGACTTTTCCCTTGGAGAAGATGGGTCACAGTATTTCGCTGACTCTGCACCTTGTTATCAAGGTATACTTATTGATGGCCCGGGGGAGAAGAACCTTCCTTGCCGTTCCCTCATTGAGTAAATATTGGGGAGTAGGTCTAATTTCAATAATATAGATAGTGAGGGTGAAAGGAGATTTGTTCTAGCGCTATCTTCTCACTGACTGTCACCTTCTGTCAATATATTCACTATTTGAAGTTTGCGGTTCCCGTCTGGGAGAGTATTTGCCTGGCTTATATCATCGTCGGGTCAAGCTTGTAGCAGGCGTGGGTTCACGCGAGGATTATGCAGGTGCGGAAATCGAGTTTATATTGCGTCATCATACGTCATCCACAACGGAGGCACAGTGATACATGTAGAAGCAAATGTGTTATATGCAAATTCCTATAACACAGATGAAGCAATGTTATGCCTTCCTATTATGCAATAGGCCAAATAGGTACAGGCACAGTTTATTGCAGAAACACATCGCCTCCTACCCCGGCCCCTACCTCCTGCACCTATGAAGTCGTGTTTTATTCTCCTAGCACACAGTCCTGCCTTTTACGTCAAATCAAATAACAGAACATACAGATTCTAGGCATTTCCTACACGCTCATCCAGGAACATAACATGGCAAAACCGTACGCCTTTTTCTTTTCTTTTTTTAATCTTTTTTTTTTTGCGAACAGTGTGATTTTTTTCATAAAAAAACTCCAAATTGCTTGAAAAGTTTGTCGTCAGTTTTGGGCAATAACCACCCATTTATTTCCCTTTTTTCAGACTGCGGTCAGGCCGACGTCGTATTCGTGCTAGACGCATCAGGAAGCGTCGGCGAACCAAACTTCAAAAAGACCCTTGATTTCGTCAAACAGATCGTCAATGAATTCCAAATTGCCTCGGACAAGGTCCAGGTGGGGGTGACCACTTTCGCTTCTCGAGTGTCACACCAATTCCACCTGAACAAATACAGCTCCAAGGCCGATGTTGTGGCCGCCATTGACAAAATCCCCTACACTCGGGGCGGGACATACACGGCGGCTGCCATCGAGTACGCCCGCCAGGACATGTTCTCGCCGGGTAACGGCAATAGAGCAGGTGCTCCGGACATCATGATCGTCATAACGGACGGTGTTTCCAACAACGCCGCCGCCGTTCAGAAAGAGGCTGATGACGCTCGTAGTGTCGGAATCAAGATCTTTGCCATTGGTGTGGGATCGAATGTGAACCAGCAGGAACTGCAGAGCATTGCCAACGACCCAGATAGTCAGTACTTGTTCAACGTGGGGAACTTTGATGCCCTTCAGAACATCAAGGTGCAGCTGGCTTCCAAGGCTTGCAATGATGGTGAGTTGAACATTTCAGTATCATTCGAACGCAAACGACAAAGCAATTAAGTCAGATTTCTTATTATTAGCATCTTTTCGTATTTATAAAATTTTAACGTTATCTGATTAGAAATTATCTGGTTTTTGTGTAAATAAGGAAAATCCCTTTTATAAAGACCGCATCCATAAAACAGTTTAAAAAAGTCAAATAATCAAATACACTTTACTAACTGTGAATTCTACAAGCGACAAAAAAGCAAGGGCTATACATATTATCTAGATGCATAATGCACCTCTAACTCAATCCATGAAAAATTCTGAGAGCACTGCACGTGCAACTACCGGGTCTGTTTTAAAAGTTTCCTTTTCTGACCATTAGCTGCGGCCGCTACTACCGGTGGTGTGGCCACCTTCCCTCCTGACACCTGCAAGGACAACGTGGACTGTCCGACCTACGGCAAGGACGTTTGTAAAAATTTCGAGAAGTGGTCCAAGAATAACTGCCGACTGTATTGCGGGCATTGTACACGTAAGTGATGAATGGTGAACGATCCTGTGAAGGCGCGTTTAATTCTTGGTCAATTTGTTTCACGTGACATTGTACATATAGGCCTATTATGTTAAGTTAAAAGTTTGAATCTTGTTTGGAAACAAGTTTATTCATTTTGTGTTCTTTTCACTATTTTCACTTCAGAGGCGGTATATATAATATTTTGGTCTTAATTCATCATTTCCTAACATTGTATTTCATATATTTATTCATTTTTCTTTAAACATTTATAACCCAATAAATATATATCTTATTGCATCCTATCAGCATTGTACAAGGCAACGGCGGCTCCGTGTGTTGATAAACTGACCAACTGTAACTCTTTCGCATACGATACGTGCACCAAGTATGTAGACTGGTCCAAGGACAAGTGCGCTAAATACTGCGGTTATTGCGGTGAGTGGATATGTCTGTCTTTTCGTTCCTACTCGCATTTCCCCGTTGTTCAATAATCGGGAGGTAATTATCAGATATACAGGGGTGAAAAAGAGAAAGAAAGTTTTCTGATTTTAACTCCTTGTCAGGCTAGCTTCTGTAACTGTCCGTTTTCATTTGAGGGAGATTTTTGAAGCGTTCGAAAATGCTCCTCGATCTTCATAATTAAAGCTGTATGACGAGATAATAATTAACTTTTGAAAATAGATATTAATGCAGTTAAACATTCATATTTTAGGTAACGGAGGCACTGGAGTTGGATACCGTAAGTTACAATATATTTTGATATATGGCTTTTCCGAATGCAAAGCCTCCCTAATAAAATATACATCGATTGCGTTCAACATATACCGTATAACTGACATAAAACAAATTACTCACTAACTTCAAGCAGTATTCTCCAGCCACGCAAACTAACATGTCAATAAGAAAGAATGTTTATGATGCTTTATAGTTTATAATTTAGTAAATTTAAATATTAAAAAACGATGCATTGATGATTTTGACCATTTTTATTTTTAAACAACCCCTGATAATCGTGTCATGGACGCCTGAGTATAATTTAACGTTTTGCTTCAGACGGCAGCTGTTTCTACAAGGGCTATGAGTACAAACAGGGCGAGAAGTGGGACGACGGGTGTGACTATGAATGTACTTGTGAGGACGCCTCCAAAGGACTGTACAAATGCTATAACAAGTAAGTCACGATGTACCAGCAATAGAGATGGGGTTGGGAAGAAAGAGGGAGGGGGGGTAAGAAGCCAAATGGTGGCCTTTCGTAAATTTTTGTCGTATTTTAGAACAATATTTAAAATAATATTTTAGAACTTTAAATCATAAAAAATTCGATAAGATCTATCGTCTGGGGATTCATATATATATTTTGTCAGTTCTCGTGTTTTCGTTCCAATCCTTTTGGAGTTGGAGGTAAATTATTTCAGTAATAAGTGATTGAAGAATATTTACTCCTATTCGTTTGGAGTTGGCTTTATACAGGCGTTTTTATATAATTTATAATAGAATTCATACGACTTTTCTAGATGTCCTATCTACTACAACCTCCCCGCCCAGTGCACCCTGGTTCGCGCCAGCGGAGAATGTTGCTTGAAGCCAGTGTGTAACTGGGCCGCAGGCTCCACCAGCTTCAACGGGCAGGGCAGCGGCGTGGACAGCAACGGAGTCCGTAAGTACCATCGAAATATGAGAATATTGTTCTTTTATGTCACGTGCTTGTAACCTTAAGTAATATGAATTGGTTGGCTCTTTTCTGGTACTCAGAAAACACAGTCTCTTGTTTTGGTGGATTTCTGGTGTTATTTAAAATGTTTTCAAACTTCGCTATATTGGTTTTTGTATTCACTGGCATAACGTGTCAGTTCCCATGCCTCTCTACAGCTGTGTGTATTGGACTATATTCTTTTCAAAATTCTTTAGTACAGTTTAAACTGTGAAAATCTTTGCTTTTTCTGTGTGTAAACACTTCGTCTGTTGTTAAGAGTTTTTTATGTTTATTTGTATTTTTCACCAGGCGTGTGTGTGTACAAGAACAAGAACTACTACCACGGGCAGGCGTGGAAGGACGGCTGTGATTACGAGTGTGGCTGTGTGGACGCCAACACCGGACTGTACATCTGCCAAAATCTGTAAGTGGGCCTCTAAAGTTTTTACAGATGTAGCATTCCTCTCCTAAAACCATCTTATTCTCTCGATTACAAATGAATGAACTTGACGCCCAAATACCACATGGATCAACTAAGGAACAGGCGGTTCTTAGTTACATTATAAATGTTACTTTTCTTCGGTTGCCACCAAATTATGTTTTACTTTGAAAGCCATATTAACCATATAACGCAACTTATATGCCAGCTAAATTAACCCTAAAATATTAAATAAAGGAAAAATAACAGTTTCGTTTTATGTAATTTTGCGTCTACTTCCTTCTTCAATTCCTGTACAGTTTGGAACAATTCGCATTCAAAATTTAGAAATTCTTGATTTAGCTTTTGGTATCATGCCTTTTCATTTATTTTTCATCTCAACGCCATTGGTTTTACGTTGCCGGTCAATATATCTCTTTTTGAACTGCTCGGCTTCTTTCCAAAACCCAACAAAGTATGACATTTTCAGGTGCATTTTCTCTCTCTTTTAGATGTCCAAGATACACCAACCTCCCCGCAAACTGTCGCCTTGAGAAGAAGTCTGGCGAGTGTTGCGACAAGCCAGTCTGTGAGTGGAACACACAATTAGGGTTTATCACTGGAACAGGTTCCGTCACCGGAAGTGGAACAGGTAGGTCGTCAAGGCTAGGCCTAGCATTTTAGGTTGTCGCCAGGCAGCCCCTTTCCCTTTTTAGCTACCTAATCTCCATCGATGTCGTTTTCATATCGCCTGTCTTCGTTAAGCCTGCTCAAAGTAACTTTATTACTAATGTTCACTTTAGGTTAAAAGGGAATCGATGGTTAATTGTATCATATTTATAACCGATTTTAGATTTTGTGAATTGATAATTTTTATGCTATTTGCGGATAGAGAACATCTAGATAAGAGGGGCTAGAGAGGAGCGCGTCTTCCGCTGAGAAAAAAATTATGAAATGGCGTTTGAGAAGGGATGTATTTTGCACTATTGTGTGTCTGTGATGTTACATTAAACTTGACCCTCAACGTATTCGCACCAGTTTGTCAAGGGGACTGGGATTAAATGTGCCATTTTGTTTTAGATGGCGGGTGGTGTTCTCCCTTTTCTTTGCTTCCAATGGGCCTATGTAGATTTATATACGGATTTAAGTTTCAAACGACTTTATATTAATTTTGATGTTCGTATATAACGGGGTAAATCGCTACACATTCCGCATTCTCCATATTTCAGTTAACAAACCTACCCCTCCACCACCATGTAAGGACGAGATTCCAAACTGTAAGAGCTATAGCAAGGATGTGTGCGATCAGCCAGCTTACCAGTCCTGGGTGAAGAACAACTGCATGAAATACTGTGACAAATGCAGTAAGTTGATAACGGACCCAAAACACGGTGCCTGATTTAATCATTTTCATTTCCTTAAGAAAAAAGTAATTTTTTTCACGCTCACGAATTATTGATCAACCCGTCCGTGCACCTGGGTTAAATGTCTTTAAAACCATTACTTATTTAATAATTCAGTACTAAATGATTGGCCGGATGCAGAGACCACCATTTCTTCCTGGCGTCCCTTTATCGTTTTAAGCTCCCCCACAGCGTTACACTCAGGCAAAATTATTATAGCCTACGTTTTACCCGCATCGAAACAGCCCCCTCCCCCCTCTTCAGTTTTTGTATGACGATTAAAACTGTGCTATTTTCGGGCCCGATGTATTTATAGCAAGGTTTAAGAATAATTCATATGTCGCATTTTACCAGAGTAGTGGGGAGTAACGGTGGGGCGGGGGAGGGGAGGGGGCACTTAGTACAGTTACGGAAAAGTAACGCCCGGCACGTGCGGGGACGCCACAGGCCTAAATGGATATACCCCAAGACATATTTTGCCTAATAAGATACTAGCACTATAATGAACAAGAAATTTAGCGTTTAGGTAGGCCTATTGCATGCAGTTGTGAATTTTCTTCTGTTTTCAAGATAGAAATAGGAAATTGTGTTCGCGTGTAAGTAACGGTAGACCTACCATGCAGTATGGGAATATTGTCGAATAAAGTGTGATTGAGATAAGTGAAATAGAAACAACGTTTATCTTAACTTTTTTGCTTTCTTCTCTGTTTTTCCAGTCATTTTCCCGACTCCAGGACCAAATGGTAAGTGATATTTGGATTTTGTTCTTAACATATTAATTGAAAATTTTCGCACAATTCGTTTCCTCTGTTTTATTTGCTCTGATCATACATGACACGCTATAATTAACTATTTAAGAATAAATATTACTTTTTAGTTCTCATATCTTGCTTTTCAATTTTTCGTAGGCCTATATAAAAGAATGCAGGCCCAAATTTAAACGCCAATCGTTTTGTTTTTGTTTTAAAATCGTCGTCTGTAATTACCATTTCTCAGTAACTAAGCTCTCGTCACTGTATTTCAGACCGTTGCTTGTACAAGGGGCAGCTGTTCAAGCAGGGAGAGAGGTGGAGTGACGGCTGTGACACGGAGTGCGTGTGTGAGAACGCTCTGGGTGGTTACTACAGGTGTATCAACAGGTAGGCTAATTCTTTTCAGAACGCCGCCTGATATTTCATAATTTTAGTTTTAACTGAATTATTAGAATAATTTTTCCTACTATTGCCTATAAATGGTCGTTTAAATAAAGTTATTTAAAGGGACTTAAGAGCAATGACTTAGCATGTAAACTTTTGAGAAACATGTAAGGAACTAAACTGCCATGACTCAAAGCTTCAGAGGCTTGAGGATCGAAATTTTACTCGAGGTATACGTTACATGCGTGCGTTTGAGGTTATATGTTAAGTAGGTCAGCGGGAGAAATGAACAAGGTAAGAAATCTGTAGATTGCTGAAATTGATGAAAAAAGCTCAACGTTAATTAAGCTTTCTGCATAATATTCATTAACATTCATTAACTAGCCGAATATTTTATTTTATTTCAAACAAGGCAGGTTGGTCCATTGAACTGAGTTGTGGAAGGTTTCGGCAGGTACATTTTCTTGAGGCCGTCAGAGCAATGCGTCTTCCCAGTCGGGCACAGTAGTCTCCATACCCTGTAAATAATCAGCCACATTCTGAAAGTCGACACAGTACACCTTTCAATTTTCAATCTTCTTCCCTACTAGGTGCCCGTCCTACGAGAATCTCCCCTCCCAGTGCAAAGAAGTCCAGGTCCAGGGCAAATGCTGCAAGGAGGTACAGTGCAGCAGCGGCAACTTCTTCCCGTCCAGCACTAGTGGTGGCTCCCTCGGAGGTGGCTACGAGATCATTGTGCCTTCTGGAAGTGGGAATGTCGGCATCACCAACCCGTCAGTTGGGCTACGTAAGTTGTACCTTGTGTATTTTTTTCTTTTAATTCTTTGTTTGTAACTGCCAATATTGTAGTTGTTGTAGCTTTAAAATCTCTCATTCAAATCAGCATTACGTGTCTTGTATCCCAGTTACAGAGCTTTTAGATTTGCAGTGAATTTTATACTTATTCATTTTTTCATCCAGAGGGATGTATGTACAAGGGCCAGTTCTTCCCAGCTGGACGCATGTGGACAGATGGCTGCGACTACAACTGTATTTGTGAAGATGGAACAACTGGCAAATACACCTGCAGGGAAAGGTATGCTTTCTTTGAGGTCTCCAGAAGTTTGTCTGATTTGATAAGTGTTTCCAGACAAAACTTGACTGTGTCTGAAAGCAGAGAATAAATTCTGCGAGTTAGAATTATATACGCATGTATTGGAAGTAAAAAATCAAACACAAGCTGATTTGTTGGCTCTTTTATTATGTTTGTGATTTAAATCTTGGTTTCTGTGACTGTATAAGTCATGTGAAATAAGTCAAGTGGCTACCTATTCATATTTATTACTATTGGAATAGAATTTACACGACGATGATGCATCTTTCTTGTGCAGACTTTATCTGGATATACTGATTCCCTATCTGATTTTTCTGCCTGAGTGCCAATATTTTAGGAGAAATTCTATGTTCAACAAAAGATTGAAAAAAAAAAAGAAATACACATATTATGCTGCCCAGCTTTATAATCTTATAACTGAAAGTTTTGCTACCTTGTAACCATTATTTCATTTCAGATGCCCTCGCTACCCCAACCTCCCGTCTCAGTGCACATTGAAGACAGACCCCCAGGATTCCTGCTGTCAAATACCCTCATGTAACTGGCAGGGTAGCTCAGGCTCCGTCACTGGTGGACGTCCTGTGATTATTCCTAACTTTGGCCCAGATGTCACTGGCACAGGTGCGGTGGTTACGCCCATTGATAAACCTGGCCCTCCCAACACTGGGGGCATTCTGCAGCCGGTTATTAACCCAGCCCCTGGGGTGGTGGTCGGCACGACGGTGGCTCCAGTGACAGGTAAGTTTGTGCTTACACACACACACACACACACACACACACACACACACACACACACACATGTGCATGTACACATGCACACACACACACACACGCACACATTGTCCTCGGACTCGCGTGATTATTGAGCATGGTAACATGTTTGACCTTTAGAGTGGATAGCATTTCGAAAGAATATGAATAGTTTTAAGAATCTAGGATTAATTCCAAATATCAGGTCTTGGCTTTTTACAATGACAATAATGTCATTCTTTTTTTTTCATCTGAAACCAGAAAAGATCTCAGAGCCAATACCAAGGCAGCTAAATTCTCATTATAATTAATTAATTAATGGATCACCACCAACATCTAATCATTCTAAGTAAGAACATCTCTGGTCTATCCTGAAAAACATGATAAAAACTTATTGAGTTAGACTGTAAACTTAGGACCATTCCCGGACCCTACTGTACTAACTGTGGATTGATCTATCTCCAAGGGGATTCTTGCTAAATTGCAATCAATTTAAGCAGCTTAGATGTCTAGCATGCCCACTGAAGCTGTTAGAGGGTAATTTACCATCGTTTAGCAGCTTAGTAGGTTTAGTAGACATCTAAGACGCTTAAGCTGAAAGCAATTTAGCAAGAAACCCCTTGGAGATGGATCGATCCTGTTAGATCGATCTAGGTATGGGAACCCAGTCTAACAAGCCAAAAAAGGCCAAAACTTGGTGGAGATAACAAGTCCTCTTGTTTGATATTGCAGAAACCTACTGCTACTACAACGGACAGAGGTACACCCAGGGAGCCAAATGGCAAGATGGATGCACATACAACTGCGAGTGTCTTGACTCAACATCTGGATTCTACAGGTGCACAGAAATGTAAGTATTAATATGATATGAATTTCCCTTTCTGTTTGCCTAATATGTGTGTCCTATAGTTCTGATGTACCTATTATATTTGAACATTTAAATTAATTTATTTACATTAGACTTCAAAGCAACTAGTCTTTGTATAAGTTATGTTATCAAGGTTTATTGTAACCAAGTTACATGTAATTTCTTTTTTATATTTAGCGAAATATTTTGTTTAGTGTACTAGTAATGCTAGATGATTCAAATTTGGAGTCTTATCATTTTGTCATTAAGACTAAGAAGGATATTGCATAATGGAACTCACTAAAAGGCTCAGCATGGCCAATACTGCACAGTAGTACTACCTAGGCAACATTTTCATTGACCCAGTGTACCCATTTCTCAAACCTGAAATAAACTGCATTGGGGCGAAATCAATATCTTTAAGGATTTCCAAAATTTCCATGTACCAATTTTGTCTGGAAATGATGTCTTGTAAAGTGAATGTCTTGCTTTATCTCCGTAGCTGCCAGCGATACAGCAATCTCCCTTACTTCTGTACTTTGAAGGAGGATCCTAACAACAGGTGTTGTAAGATCCCTGACTGCAAACTGCCAACCTCAGCACCAGGTACGTGTTCGCACACGTGTGTGTGTGTGTGTGTGTGTGTGTGTGTGTGTGTGTGTGTGTGTGTGTGTGTGTGTGTGTGTGTGTGTGTGTGTGTGTGTGAGAGAGAGAGAGAGAGAGAGAGAGAGAGAGAGAGNCGTTTATTATGTTTGTGATTTAAATCTTGGTTTCTGTGACTGTATAAGTCATGTGAAATAAGTCAAGTGGCTACCTATTCATATTTATTACTATTGGAATAGAATTTACACGACGATGATGCATCTTTCTTGTGCAGACTTTATCTGGATATACTGATTCCCTATCTGATTTTTCTGCCTGAGTGCCAATATTTTAAGAGAAATTCTATGTTCAACAAAAGATTGAAAAAAAAAAAGAAATACACATATTATGCTGCCCAGCTTTATAATCTTATAACTGAAAGTTTTGCTACCTTGTAACCATTATGTCATTTCAGATGCCCTCGCTACCCCAACCTCCCATCTCAGTGCACATTGAAGACAGACCCCCAGGATTCCTGCTGTCAAATACCCTCATGTAACTGGCAGGGTAGCTCAGGCTCCGTCACTGGTGGACGTCCTGTGATTATTCCTAACTTTGGCCCAGATGTCACTGGCACAGGTGCGGTGGTTACGCCCATTGATAAACCTGGCCCTCCCAACACTGGGGGCATTCTGCAGCCGGTTATTAACCCAGCCCCTGGGGTGGTGGTCGGCACGACGGTGGCTCCAGTGACAGGTAAGTTTGTGCTTACACACACACACACACACACACACACACACACGTGCATGTACACATGCGCACACACACACACGCACACATTGTCCTCGGACTCGCATGATTATTTAGCATGGTAACATGTTTGACCTTTAGAGTGGATAGCATTTCGAAAAAATATGAATAGTTTTAAGAATCTAGGATTAATTCCAAATATCAGGTCTTGGCTTTTTACAATGACAATAATGTCATTCTTTTTTTTCATCTGAAACCAGAAAAGATCTCAGAGCCAATACCAAGGCAGCTAAATTCTCATTATAATTAATTAATTAATTAATTAATTAATTAATTAATTAATTAATGGATCACCACCAACATCTAATCATTCTAAGTAAGAACATATCTGGTCTATTCTGAAAAACATGATAAAAACTTATTGAGTTAGACTGATCTATCTCCAAGGGGATTCTTGCTAATCAATTTTAGCAGCTTAGATGTCTAGCATGCCCACTGAAGCTGTTAGAGGGTAATTTACCATCGTTAAGCAGCTTAGTAGGTTTAGTAGACATCTAAGCCGCTTAAGCTGAAAGCAATTTAGCAAGAAACCCCTTGGAGATGGATCGATCCTGTTAGATCGATCTAGGTATGGGAACCCAGTCTAACAAGCCAAAAAAGGCCAAAACTTGGTGGAGATAACAAGTCCTCTTGTTTGGCATTGCAGAAACCTACTGCTACTACAATGGACAGAGGTACACCCAGGGAGCCAAATGGCAAGATGGATGCACATACAACTGCGAGTGTCTTGACTCAACATCTGGATTCTACAGATGCACAGAAATGTAAGTATTAATATGATATGAATTTCCCTTTCTGTTTGCCTAATATGTGTGTCCTATAGTTCTGATGTACCTATTATATTTGAACATTTAAATTAATTTATTTACATTATACTTCAAAGCAACTAGTCTTTGTATAAGTTATGTTATCAAGGTTTATTGTAACCAAGTTACATGTAATTTCTTTTTTATATTTAGCGAAATATTTTGTTTAGTGTACTAGTAATGCTAGATGATTCAAATTTGGAGTCTTATCATTTTGTCATTAAGACTAAGAAGGATATTACGTAATGGAACTCACTAAAAGGCTTAGCATGGCCAATACTGCACAGTAGTACTACCTAGGCAACATTTACATTATCCCAGTGTACCCATTTCTCAAACCTGAAATAAACTGCATTGGGGCAAAATCAATATCTTTATCCCAAAATTTCCATATACTGATTTTATAGGAATTTCTCGCTTTTTCTCCATAGCTGCCAGCGATACAGCAATCTCCCTTACTTCTGTACTTTGAAGGAGGATCCTAACAACAGGTGTTGTAAGATCCCTGACTGCAAACTGCCAACCTCAGCACCAGGTACGTGTTCGCACACGTGTGTGTGTGTGAGTGCAAATGTGTGTGTGTGTGTGTGTGTGTGTGTGTGTGTGTGTGTGTGTGTGTGTGTGTGTGTGTGTGTGTGAGAGAGAGAGAGAGAGAGTGCATTTTGCCTGTGCTATGGAGAGTACAACACATCAGACTTATTCATGAAGTAATGCGAAAAAAAATGAAGTCATAAAATAACTGGTAGTTTTTCTTTACTGGTACTCAAAAGTCTATTACTCGTTTTGAAGCACTGAAGGCACTGTTTGCTCTAAAAAAACTTCTTTTCACCTGAATTGAAAATACTAGTAATCACGGCAGTACATGTCTCACATATAAGGCAGTAAGGCAACTTTTATATTGAATTTCTTATATTCATTTATTTAATGGAATATATGTATTTTGTTTGAGTAGGCACAGTCAGTGGCGGCGGTAATGGAGGTAACACAGGGCAAACAGGGGGCGTGGTCACCAACAGACCTACCCAGCCACCCATACAGGGAGGTAAGTGTGGAAATATCATTTAGGACGCATTCACAACAAAAGACTAACAAGTCTGCGGATCAGATATGGCCCGAGCCACTTGAATAATTTCCCACGGTGATTCTATCCAGTGTCTTTTAGCAGATTAGATGACAAGCTTTTCATTGGGTCACCATATTTGACCCGCTAACTAGTTAGTCTACTGTTCTGAATGCGGCCTTAGACTTTTTCCAGACCTCTTACCCCTTCAGAGAATACAACACAAAAAGCTAAAAAGACCCTTCGCATTATCTTTTTTTGTTAATTTTTCAAAAGCATAATCTTCAGTTACTTTTTAGTCTTTTTACTTTTTTTTTCGAAAGTGTATTCTTCAGTCACTTATTAGTGTTTTTACTTTGTTAACAGAATACTGTGTGTATAAAAATGGCTACTACACCACGGGACAACAGTGGTATGATGGCTGCCAGTACTTGTGTGTCTGTGAAGATGGTTCCCGAGGATTCTACAGATGCAGCAATAGGTACCAGAGATTTTATGTTTTGTTTTCATTGATTGAGTTTGTTTTCTGTTCTGTTTGAGATATTGCGTACAAATAAGCATTACTACCAAAATGTTATGCAGGGAATATTGGAATGGGAATAATATTTTTTTATCAAATACGTAATGTCAGTGCTCTATTTACATTAAACTGAAAAGGAAAAACTCTAAAAAAGCAGTGTTGCTTTGTAAACACAAGTAAATACACACATACGTTTACAAATCTACAGGCTTCCAAATTCAGAAATAATATTGGGTTTTGAGATCAAATGAAAATGCTTCACTGCACTTGGATAAAAGCTGTTTAAAAAGCGAATATCACATATGAGTATTGTCTACTCTTCCCAGGTGCCCCACCTACAGAGACTACCCCAGTGCCTGTACCCTGGTGGCTGACCCCAGGGACCCTGCCTGCTGCCAGAAACCACAGTGTAACTTCCAGCCCACTTATGGACAGATAACTGGCACCGGTGGCACTAATGTTCCAGGTATATTTACGGAAACCCATCACTTTTTACTGTATACACATTATGTTGTTGATGGTAGTTCTGCAGTGTTGAATGGGGATAGCATTTTTTAAAGATATTTTATATATTGATGAAATTTTTGCCAATTCAAATCATGTGTACCAAATTTTACGTTAAGGATTTTAATTTGGTGATCAGTCACCTTGAAAGCCTTTTTTGTTTGAGGTAAAAGATAGTAAGATGTTTCAAGTAAATTAACAGTTTTTCAAAAAATGTTTGTAACCATTGGATACCGTATCGTACTTCTCAGAGGAT